AAAAATTTGAAAAGAGAAGAATGTTTACTAGGAAGACCAGTTGTAATAGAGATCTTATAGATAAGGGTTTTGATAGATATACAGGGAGATAAACAAAAAAGAAGACAGACTAACAGTTTAAGCTACATCAAGTAAACTCATTTATTGATATTTGCACATATAGGAGATTTAAAGATCCATGAGATAGTTCAAGTTACAAGGGTGTTCCTCAGACGGATCAAATGAACATGGTTCACACCATTAGAAGAATATGTAATGACGCATGGAGGATATTACCTAACCATTCCACCATGGCTATAAGAAATTCTTTTAGTGAAAGTTTTTTACTTCTGCAAAAAGGATCTTACTGTATCTACTTCCTTGACTCTGAATCTAACTGCGAACCAAGTTCTCAGAATTCAAAGGACAGACAAGAAGTAAATGACTTAACTAATTATATCTTCCAGTAGAAGGGAGTCTGAAAATAAGCAAGTCCCATGAAACAAATTTTCACAAGGTCCCTAGATGTTACTCAAAGCCAAAATCAAATTAGCTGGAATCTTTGAAGATAAACTACAATGCAGAATATAGTAGAGTAAAGGATCCTCTGTTTCTTCTGTTTTTTTGTTTTTTTTTTGGAATGAACAGAAATAAGGGGTTTCATCAAGGCCCTGAAGAAGAATGTTGGAGTCCGACATGAGGCGAATCAGTGAGATATAATTTAAAAATTTAAGTTGGAAGACTTCAAACAAACAACCTAAAAAGAATTGGCCTCCTGGTAAAATAATACTGCTAGACTATGGTCCAATTTTAACATATGTTGATTGAAATATTAAAAGCCAACAAGATCTGCATTGAAATAACTAAAATATTATAGAACCTAGCAGGACAATTCACATACTGGTTCGGTACTAATGGTGTCATGGTTACTTTTGGTTTGACAACGTTCCCAATGGCAAATATACCACCACCATTTACACCATCCAAGCAATGAGCAAACATTTTCTTCACTTTTCCAGATGAAGCCAGCTGGGAAAGCATGGATGAATTTGATTTCCCAAATCCCAAAACCCCATCAAGAGCGTCATCTGAAGACCTTAGATCTAAAGACTGTGTACCCCCACACCTGCCCAAACAAGAGGAAGAATGTCAATAAACTAAACCTAAGAGAAAAAAAAACAAATATAAATGAAAATATGCCACTAGATATCAACCCAACATAGAGGTAGTTCAACCAAGCTTCCGATCTGCTAAGTTTGAAATGTACTTTTGTCAAATGTAGTTTGAGAAAAAGTACTGTACAAGTCCTTCTGTTTAATATTATAACAGCAGTTTGCATTTGGACGATCTTTCCGGAAGTGTTTGAGTCAAATTACTAAAAGAAAAGAACATCTAAAGATTCACTTTTCAATTCGTACTAACAAAAAAGATGGTTTCAAATCTCTCCTTATCCACTCCAGGCCCACCAAAAATATCTCTAAATTCCTGAAAGGCTGAAATAGTATAGTCTAAAAAAAGTTCTGCTCTGCAGTAAAGGAAAATAAGGCAAAATCCAAGTTAAATTATGACCAATTCAAGAATATAGAAGACAATAAGGGCATCTAATAAAAACTGAAAACAGAATAAGACCGACACCTAGGATTGTTCAAAGTTTCTTCCTGTAGGACTTCTCCTTTAACTAATAAGGGTCTAGACAGCAAGTTTCAGTTGAGGATTATATGATATCAACAAGCAACTGAAGTACTTTCGGTTCTCAGAATACATCCAACATACATCTTACCCAAAAATTACAGTTCCATTTGTTGAGTTAGTTTGGAGATCACCAGACACCAGATCATATTGAACAACATCCTCCACAAAGTAGCCCATACTATAGCTTCCATCTCCATAATTTTCATTAAAATAACATGAGTTATTACCATAGCAGCCTGATACCGAGCCTCCATTTACATCCTTGCAGAACTGGTGTCCACAAGAAATTAATTTACCAGAGAGGGAATCCTTTCGATTGTAGAATGCTAGCTCCAGCTGCCAAAAAATATGTTTACATTAAAAGGGAGGAAGAGCACATAACACATCTAACTTCTCTTTTTTCTGGGAGCAAGTAAATACAACAAGCTGAATAAGGATATACAATCAGAAAACTTAAGAAACGTACACCATGATATCCTCTTCTGGGGCATTGATCACATCCAACGCAGTTAACCCACATTATGTCGCTTCCGGTATCCACTTGCACATAATAATCATTTGATGGTGTTCCGATTCCAATCTTAGCATAGTAAAGCCTATAATATATTAAAATTCAGATTACAACTACAATAGCACGCTTAAAATGACCCAACATGGTAAAAAGGTAAAGGTTTTCCAGAGCAATTTACTATATAAGTTATATAGTTTGTGTCAAACTGAAACTTGCACAAAAAGTCCATGGATCATTCTTCAATAATTCAAGAACCAAGGTTGTAAGCCTTAGCACTGAAATACTATTTTCAACCATGGACTTCTATGCCTGCACAAGATTATTCAACATCAACCATCTTCTTAAAACTAATATTCACTACATGAATAGACTTTTGTCAAACATTTACAAGCTAGGGAATTTAATCATCCAGTAACTTCAAGGAAATTTTGTCAAGTCAACTAGAAATTCAAAATCAACAACAACAACAACCTACCCAGTGTAATCTCACAAGTAGGGTCTAAGAACAAGTGTGTACACATACCATACCCCTACCTTAAAAGGAAGAGAAGTTGCTTTCGATAGACCCTCGGCTCAAAACAAGAAATTCAAAATCCAAAGCACTAATCAAGTTTCTACTAACATATTTAAGAAAATATTTCCAGTCACAACCAAAATAAGCATACATATATCCCTATCATATCATTACTGGGGAAACATATATACTCAAGCAATTGTTCTTCAATAAGATGATTAGCTACCATGGTCCATGAACTCCAGCGTGTAGCTTTACCACTATATGCTCAACCAGTTACATTCCCACAATGTAGCAAGGTACAAGAAACCACCATCATACAAGTGCCAACTTGATGCTATTCACCAATAGAATTACAAATTGTGTTCACCACTCCCAGAACAGTACAATAGTTCATTAGCAATTTGGATACTATCTTCGCAATCCAAACTATTATTCTTTTCTTTTACAACTTTGCCACTAAACTCAACTAGACTTTAGAAAAACCCATGTTAATAAGTAACCTATTTATCAAATTAAATGTCAACTAGCAACAACTTGCAAACTCGTTCCTATTTAACAAACCAAAACAATCAAATGTATAACATAAAAAAATAGAAGTCTATAACTAAAATGGATAAGTAGACATGTAACACCACATTCAGGTTACCATCCACAAATAGGAGAAAGTAACAATATAAGCAATAACAGTACATGCAGTAAAGCCCAAAGTACAGTGCATCAAACTAACAGAATAAAGTAGATGTGTTACACTTCTGCCTCAACTATCAATATTACAGATACACCTTATATAACATGAAGTCTTCCTTTGTTAACTAGTATCTAACATGTGTAACATACCCATTACACGGGCGGAGACAGAGGGGTGCGAGGCGTTTCAATTCGTCAAAAATTATACAACAACAACTACCCAGTATAGTTCCACAAAGTGGGTTATGGGGACGGTAGAGTGTACGCATACCTTATCCCTACATCAGAAGTAGAGATGTTGTTCCCGATAGACAATTCATCGAAAAAAATTATACTATGTGAAAAGGAAAAAAATGATTTTTTTTTTCTTGCATATATCAGTTAGTGTATCCCCTTAGCATAAGTTCTTCTTAATCCCCTTTTGAATTCTTGGCTCTGCCACTGCACATACACATATCTAATGTACAAGTATACAATCCTAACAGTACAAAAATTACTCCCAACAAGTAAAAAGATACGTTATTTTTAATCCTCTTGTTTAATTCTTGGCTCCGCCACTATACATACACATACCTGATGTACAAGTATACAAGCCTAACATACACACACAGTACAAAAATTCATCCCAACAAGTAAAAAAGAAGTTTTTTTTAATCCCCCAGTTGAATTCCTGGCTTCATACCTAATATATAAGTGTCCGTGTCAGCTTTCGCACAACTCGACTAATTACACGGGATACCTGGCACCACTAGCAACAGGGACAAGGTAATCTACCTACCAAGGCTACAAAGATGGGGAAAATCACCTAGTATTCTCTGTCTGTGCTGGTATTAGAACCAAAAATAGTTCTCAACCAACTCCATTAACCAGAACCTTTGGTGCATACCTAATGTACAAGCATACAAGCCTATAGTACACACACGGTACAAAAACTACTCCCAGCAAGTAAAATAAATAAGTATATGCATAAAAAGTGCATACCCGACGGAATCAGGCCGGCCGGTGCCGCCGATAGGTAGGTCGACGCCGGCGAGAAGTCTGAGATGGCGCTTTTCATCATGGGCTTTTAGGGCAGTAAGAGTCCGTTCAGACCCGGAAAATTTGTAATTTACTTTGATTACTCCTTCAATTCCGCCATTTGCAGTCCCAATAATCAAAATGAACAATAAAACGTAACCCAATTCGAATTTCACCATTATAGCTACTCCCAAAAAGCTCTATTATTGAAATCACTAAGTGGAAAGTGGGATTGAAATTTAGGAATTGAGAAGAATATTAACAGAACCAAAAAAAGAAGAAGGAAGAATTGGGTGTTGACTGTTGACCACTGATGGTGGAGGTCGTAGTCTTCTATTGGTTGTTTTCGAAAATGGAATTTTGGTACTAAAATCAGAAGAGACATTGTTGTATGATATTTCCCAATATACCCCCCTAGTATACCAATAGTTGGTTTTCTTAACATTTATTTAAGCCCCAAAACGCAAACCCGTAATCTCAACCCAAACCTCTTTTCTCCTCCTCCACCATCACCACCACCTTAAACCGCCGCCGTCGCCGTCGCCATTGCTTCTGCCAGAACTGCGCTAAATCGTTGAGGCGGCATTCACAGCAAATATGAAAGCTACTCGACGCAAAAATATTGACAAGGGGGGACAACAACCCAAAAAAGTACCTTTTTACCATAATTTCATCTAATAAATTTGATACAATATCCTGTAGAATTGCAAATTTCAGATTAGATTTGCTCAATTTTGAATTTTTAGTTAGAGTGAAGTGGATTAATTAGCTGGAGGATGGATTCTGTGGTCAGAATTGTAAATTTCAGCACAATTTTTGATTTTTTGTTAGAGTTGGGTGGATTAATTTGCTGAAAGCTATAAAACTGTTTGATAGGGTTATTTCTAGGGTTGGAGCTAGGGTCAAACATATCTTGAATCCTTTTGTGTGTTAATTTCTTTATAATTTGAACCAAAAGAATTATAGTTGGTTTAGCGAGGGTGTAATATTTTATTGATGATATTGCAGAAGCCTAACAAGAAGATGAAAATATCAGTAGTACGAAGAAAAAGAAGTAGTGAGGAGGAGGAAGGGGATTATGCAAATATTGACTACTTTAATAAGCTATCTGATGATGTTATATCCTCTCTTTTTCTGAGATGCACCCTCAAGTCATTATCCATGTTAAGGTGTACATCCAAGTTGTGGAATAACTTTATTACTGCTCCTTCCTTCCTTCATTCTCACCTCACACAATCAACACAAAATGGCCCTAAACTTCTTTTTTTGGAAAGAATATGTCTTTACCGGTCAGAATCGTCCAGGTTACGGTTTGTTTCAATTGACATGGATGGAAACAGGGAGGAGTTATACACTGTCACTTCCCGTGATTACCAACTTGCATGTGCCACAATGCAAGTACGCTTTGGGTTGGTTTGCCTTTCAACAGATTGTCGTCTTTATTTGTGCAATCCTGCCCTGCAACAATTGTGTGAATTGCCGGAATATTCACTTTCTGCTACCCCTGGTTACTGCCATTTTGGGTTTGGATATCTTCACTCAAGGAAGGAATACAAAGTGGTGCATTTTTTCTATAGTTTTCCTTCAATGACTGAAAGGTGGTGTCATCGTGGCAAGCTTCGGGTTTCACATCTAAAATGTGAGGTTCTTACCATAAATAAGGTCGGTGGCATTTCTTTTAATAGATGGAAAGAAATTGCAGACCGGTCTCCTTGTCATCCGAGATCTGAAGGACAGTTAGTAAATGAATGTATGTATTGGTGGACTTATTGTGTTCCTCGTGCCCGTGTTAATCAAATTCTTTCATTTGATTTTGAAAATGAAAAATTCCTTACTATATCTCCTCCATCACCTTTTGAAGGTGATTTGGGCTTGTTTGTGATGGATTTGAAAGGGATGGTTTGCTTGCCAGACTCTGCCTGCTTCCGCAGGAGTTCAATTTTAGACCTGTGGATACTCAAGGATAAAATAAATTGCACTTGGGTAAAGGAGTATAGCATCCGTTTGATCGACTTTGGGTTTAAGAAGATTACGTATGTCTTCATGACATGCAATGAAGAAATAATATTCCAACATTTGGGTAAAGTGGTCTTCTATGACCTAAAAAGAAAATCCTTCAGAGAAGTGGAAGCACTTTCACATCCGCTCCTTCAATATGGAGTTTACTCGAAAAGCTTGTTTTCTTTAGGAACCATATAGGTCCTTCCTAAAGTTCTCCACGGAAGACACTGCCACCATCCAATCAAAACCTCCACTTTACCTGCCAAATCTTGATACTCAATCAAGGACCTCCACTTTCAAGTTTGTTAGCTTCAGCTGGCATTTTCTTTTCGTAATTTAGTTTCTTATTTTCTGTTATATTATTTTTTTTTAGTACAGTGCTGAGCATAACAGGTAGTATAGAGCTCATGAATCAAATACTCGAATTGCACCATGATTATTGTTAGTATCCTCCCTAAGCTTGTCCTCTCATTTATTGATAATAGCAGCCATCTGCAGAACCAGAGCTGAAACCAAGGAGCAAACCTTATTCGATGAAGTTTGTAGATTCATATTTCAAGTATTATTGTGAATTTGGATTGTTCAAAATATAGTCTGATCATAGAGACTTTAATCCGTGTTTTCCATCTTTGAAGAAATTAATTATAGAGTGTAAGCAACAAGATTTGGAGTACATCTGAGTCGTTTCTGCATAATGACTCCAACAATGTCTTAGTGAAAAAGGTTGGAAAAGGATGCTCTTATGTCTAAGTAACAACTTTTTAATATGCATATCTGATGAAGAATTTTCATATTACTTTTATTTCACATAGTTACTTGGTACCTTTTGTTGGTGGAGTTGACAGGTATACCATGACGTGAAAGCTAGCCCGCCACTAAAGTCATCAATATGGACTAGGTTTGTTGGGCTGGTCTGGCTTAACCCATAATTTAACAATTTTGGGAGCCCATTTAAGAAAGGGCTTTTAAACTCGATCCGGATAAACTTGTTGATTTGAGGAGTTTCCTCAATATGAATTGGGTCGGCTCGTGGCCTAAAAAATAAATAATTTAAAAATAAAAATAGAGTATATAACAATAGTTGGTTTTCTTTGGATTATATTAGATTTAAGACCCAAAAACCGCAAAGAAAACAAAATTCAATTTTTTCGCTCCCCGTAATCTCAACCCAAACCTCTTTTCTCCTCCACCACCTTCAACCACCGGCCTTCGCCGCTGCTTCTGCCAGAACTGCGCTAAATCGTTGAGGCGGCATTCTCAGCAAATATGAAAGCTACTCGACGCAAAAAATATACACAAGTGGGAACAACAACCCAAAAAGGTACCTTTTTACCATAATTTCATCTAATGAATTTGATGCAATATCCTATAGAATTGCAAATTTAAGATTAGATTTGCTCGATTTTGAATTTTTAGTTAGAGTGAAGTGGGTTAATTAGCTGGAGGATGGATTCCGTGGTCAGAATGGTAAATTTCAGCACAATTTTTTATTTTTTGTTAGAGTTGAGTGGATTAATTTGCTGAAAGCTATATAACTGTTTGATTTATGTGTGTTAATTTGAACTGTTTCCCTATTTCCTTTGTGTTGATTGATGAATGATTACATTGCAGAAGATGAAAATATCAGTGCAACAGAGAAAAAGAAGTAGTAGTAGTACAGAGGAGGAGGAGGAAGGGAATTATCCAAATATTGACTACTTCAATAAGCTATCTGATGATGTTATAACCTCTATTTTTCTGAGATGTCCCCTCAAGTCATTATCCATGTTAAGGTGTACATCCAAGTTGTGGAATAACTTTATAATTAGTCCTTCCTTTCTTCATTCTCACCTCACACAATCAACACAAAATGCCCCCAAACTTTTTTTTTTGGAAGACAAATGGTCAAAAAAGTCTTGGTTACGGTTTGTTTCAGTTGACATGGATGGAAGCAAGGAGGAGTTATACACTGTTACCTGATACCCAACTTGTATGTTCCGCAATGGAAGTATGTTTCGGGTTGGTTTGCCTTTCAACAGATTGTCGTCTTTATTTGTGCAATCCTGCCTTGCAACAGTTGTGTGAATTGCCAGAATATTCACTTTCTGCTACCCCTGGATATAGACATTTTGGGTTTGGATATCTTCACTCAAGGAAGGAATACAAAGTGGTGCATTTTTTCTATACTGTTCCTTCAATTACTTAAAGGTATTGTAATCTTGGCATCCTTCGGGTTTCACATCTAAAATGTGAGGTTCTTACCATAAACAAGTTTGGTGGCGTTTCTTTTAATAGATGGAAAGAAATTGCAGACCGGTCTCCTTGTCTTCCGAGATCTCAAGGACTGTTAGTAAATGTATGTATTGGTGCACTTATTCTCTTCTATGACCTAAAAAAGAAAACCTTCAGAGAAGTGGAAGCACTTTCACCTTCGTACAATCGTTATGGAATTTACTCCAAAAGCTTGTTTTCTTTAGGAACCATATAGGTCATATTGCTAGTTTCCGAAATGGAATATTTTGAAATAAAGAAGACAACTCTCATCTCTTGTCTCTCTATTTTTCTTGTCTATTACTTATTTGAGACAATTATGTGAATTATGAGGTATTATAGATTTGAAATTATAGTGAGTATTTAGTCATGAATATCAAATATTATTTAGTTTATTCCAAAAAAATTAAGTTGGAATTAATGTTAGCCACACAAATTTTAATCATTCATTTTAGATTACAAGTTCTATAAGTCTTCCTTTGTGCCGAACGAAGGGAGCATCTTTTTTTTCATGGTAAACGAGTTTCTTGGAGTGTGAAACATTTTTACAAGTAGTATGATGAGCAAATGAGCTTCTTGGATAAATTTAGAGGTGGATGTATAGTATGGTAACATGTTCATATGAATTCAGTATTACCGATGCAAACATAAATTATTTATAAAAATTTACTTCATTTTCTACATATAATAAATATGAATTTATAACTTATAAAACATAATAGATTTCAATATTGCAAAATCTTAGAAGCTCGAACCCGTAAAACATTAATTCTTAAATCGTCTAATCATGGATCGATGGAATGTTTCTGCATATGTTATGGATTGAGATTGTCGATGTTTGTCTAATGCAAAATGCAGATTCATTACCGAGAACAAGATACTCATAAAATAATATTGAAGAGATGGAGTCAGAAATTATATCAAGCGTATTTAAGAATATGTATTATTTTTTATAAATGAGTTGAATGTTATTTGTTTAACCTAGCGACTGTATCATGAACGATCTCAACATTTGTTACTATCAAATACAATCAGTCGAGTTTTTTCCCCGGTGCATTAATTTTATATAATAAAGAATATATGAATTATTGTGTATAAAGTAAAATAGTAATTGAACAAATGTGTCTAGCTTTATACGAAACACAAATCACAACATCAAAGAATTATTTATTTCTATTAAAAAGAAGAAGATAAAACGCATTGTATTGATTTTCGCTTTGAGTTTAAAGTTATAAAAATATATAAGCACAAATCTTTAATGTAAAATGTTTGCCAATTAGTTTTTTCGCCTTTCAAAAGTGTATTATATGTTAGATAAAATAAGAAATATATACATAATATTTGTATAGTAACAAATTTCAAGTAAATTAAAATTAATAAATGTATTTGTTAGATGCAAGAATATATTATTAAAATTGTAATATTGAAAATTTAAAAACTTAAAAAATATTTAAGAATTTCAGATAAATTAAAATTAATATGTGTGTTCAAGTGTAAGTGTGACTTCTCTCAAAATAAAACCAAAAAATATAATGAAGTTGCCGATCAAACCCAAAACTATAAGGATGAAATGAAAACCCTTAGCATAATTCTTCTTTAATCCCTCATTGAATTTCTGGTTCCACTACTACACATGCCTAATGTACAAGTACACACAACACAAAATTACTCCCACAGAGTAAAAATGAATTTTTTTTAATCTCCTAGTTGAATTCCTATCTTCATACCTAATATACAAATGTTCGAGTCAATTTTTGCGCAACTCGACTAATTACACGAAATTTCTAGGACCCACTAGTAATAGTTACCAGGTAATTAAAAGATTCTCCTGCTATACAAGATGGTTATGGTGTTACGATGTGAGTGCATTTTCTGATTATTTGGGCGATATACAAGTGAGATTGAAAAGATTTGTCAAAGATTGAAAAAGAAGTGGCTTGACCATTCGATGAAGTAGTGTTCTTGTGAATTTGGACGTAATAATTGTTCAAAATATAGTTCTGATCATAGACTTTAATCCTTGTGAGGAATATTTTCACATCTTTCCATCTTCAACATATTTGAAGAAATTAATTTTAGAATAGTTGTAAGAAACAAGGTTTGGAGTACAACTGGGTCTTCTCTGCATAATGACTCCAACAATGCCTTAGTGAAGAGGTTGGAAAAGGATACTCTTATGTCAAGTAATAACTTTTTGATATGCATGTCTAATGAAGAATTTTCGAAATACTTCTATTTCACATAGTTACTTGCAGGGTATTTTGAGGCCAAAAGGTAAAGAATGGTTTGTACCAATTTCAATACTTTAAGGGGTCGTTTGGTAGAGTGAAAAATAATGCATGCATTAGTCTTGTGTATTACTAATATATTGCTTGGTATTCTTTTCCAACCTATAAATAACTAATGCTTGTATTAAGGTGTGTATTGCTAAAGTCAAATACTCCTTAAAAAGTAATTGGTATTTAGAAGGAGTCAACATTTTTATTATAAAAACCCTAGTTAAATTTATAAAATTATTGATAACATAAATTAAAAAATGATAATAGAATTTTATTTAATATTTTAAAACTTTAAATTAAATTACTTAAAATTTACTATCTACCAATAAGATTTCGAAAACAAAAATCAAGGTATTGTATTGTAACCAATGATCTTGCAATTCTTCCACCTCTCTTCGGCTATAAATAAAGAGATTTTCAGAATAAATGTAGGTCTTTCTTGAAAACATGTAAAGGCAGGTTGGAAAATTGGTTGAATAAATGCAGACTATTCCCTAAAAAAATACTTATTAAAAGGAAATATTTACTTATCAACGCGAAAGAGTTTACATGGTCGGACATTCACAAAAAACGTTCACACATAAAATTAAGATAAACTCATTTCACGAATTCTCACATATGAAAATTAAAAAGAGGTGAAATAATGAATTTCTAACCAAAATTACACCCATAAAATTCATACACATGTCTCCTTACATGAGTAATTAAGATTACACAAAAA